CCTATTATCGGTAACGGGTATTGCACGATATTTTCATGCTCTTGGCAAGGCGTTCGAACATTCAATTTGGACCCATATCGAGACGAGGTCACACTGCTGCTCCATCATATCCATATTCTAACATCCACGAGAAGCAAATCTTGTTTCCTATTGTTGACCAACACTTCTCTTTCATACTAATCATGGAAGGTTATGGGTCTTGAACCCAAAAGCTGGCCAATCGATAACACGACCTTTTGAGTGGCAGTAGATGCTGCATCCATCTCACTAAGAGATACAAGGTGTTTATCAAAACTCCAAGGGCTGTTCAACGACACCCGTTGCTTATCGGCGATGTGATTAAAATGGAACAAGAAAAGATGATCCCAATGGGGTATAACTCCTCCTTTAATTGTTTCCAAAATGGCTATTAGGTGACTTTCATGCCTCTGCACTCAACGGTCTAGGAGTAAGCGCTTCCTAATGAGCATAACCAATGTTGAATGATTATTTATTGATTAATGTACACAGATTATTGTGTATATACAAATTACAAATTGGTGGTTTATATAGATGTAGGTGTAGTGAGATGGGGTGGTAGGTGAGTGTAGTAGGTGAAGTGGGGTGTGTAATGGATAGTGGTAGGATATATTTTAACAGCCCCCGCAAACTCAAGGAGGATAGAAACTAACCAACTTGAGTTTTGAAGAGAGAACAAAACAAGAAAATACATAAAAATAAAAAAAATACATAAAAAAAAAATAGGACACTGTATGGTCGTGTCAGACCGTCGGTGAAGACTCTGAAGAGGTGTGTCATAACGTGGTAGGACACTGGATGGTTGGTGTCATAACGTTGTAAGGACACTGATAGGTGTGTCATAACGTGTAGAGGACACTGAATGGTGGTGTCATAACGTTGTAGAGGACACTGTAGCTAACCGGAATCTAATGTCGGGACAGTTTAATAGGTGCATGTCTGGACCGTTGGAGATGCTAACCGGAATCAAATGTCGGGACAGTTTATAGGTCATGTCGGACCGTTGTAAAAGTGCACCCTCAAAAAGGCGTGCCCAATCCATAAAAAGTGTGTGCCATCAAAAGGCGTGCCGGACATTGAATGCGAAAGCACGTGGGTGCCTTGGTTGGCGCGCCTTTGTCGTCTGTCGCAAGTGGCGCGCGATGCGCTGATCGGCCTTGCTATTTAACCAAGGACGAAGGTGAAGCTGAGCATAACCATTCTGAAACCTCGAGAACCAACCTTCTCTGAAAAACTCTGCCTCTTCGGAGAAGAGAAACTGTGACACTTTGTACCAGAAAATGGCCTGTCTCCCGGAGTCTGCTCCTGCCTCTTCCCGCTCAACGAGTCAACAGAGAGAGAACTGGTGCGGGGCACTGGAACCTCAACCAGTACGCTGGGTTTATACCCCGTTGAACTTTCCGATGCGGTCTGTGGCAAAGAAATGGCAGGGTTTCGATGTGAGGCCAATCAGTATACTTGAAGGCATGTGTGGAAAGCAGACGGCGTCACAAACCTGTCGAACGCTGCAGATAGGACAAATGAGGTGCAGCATTTAAACTCCAGCTGGCTGCTGCTCCAACGCATGTATAAGGATGCGCGAGCAGAGATAAGCGTACTAAGGGCAAAAACAAGGAGCTGAAGCGGAAGGCCACCGGATGTTCCGATTTGGAGGTCCTCATATGCTGCAGTGGAGGAGTATGGGGGAGTGAACGTGCTCAGTGGACAAGGAAACACGGAGACCGACTGGCACGGGACACCCAAGAAAAAGTAAGAAGAAGAGACCTGCAGTAGAATAGAGAGGGAAAAGAAAAATCCCACGTGGTTGTTTTTGTTATTTTTTTTTTTTTTTTTGTGTAAAATGATGATCGGGGTGAGGCCCCGATATGAATAAAATTTTGCAGTTCGTTCTTCTTCCTCCGTGTTTGGGTTAGTTTCTACAAGGGTCCGACAAGACTCTATAAACTGTCCCGACATTGATTCCGGTTAGCATACAGTGTCCTCTACAACGTTATGACACCACCATACAGTGTCCTCTACAACGTTATGACACCACCATACAGTGTCCTCTACAACGTTATGACACCACCATACAGTGTCCTCTACAACGTTATGACACCACCATACAGTGTCCTCTACAACGTTATGACACCACCATACAGTGTCCTCTACAACGTTATGACACCACCATACAGTGTCCTCTACAACGTTATGACACCACCATACAGTGTCCTCTACCACGTTATGACACCACCATACAGTGTCCTCTACCACGTTATGACACCACCATACAGTGTCCTCTACCACGTTATGACACCACCATACAGTGTCCTCTACCACGTTATGACACCACCATACAGTGTCCTCTACCACGTTATGACACCACCATACAGTGTCCTCTACCACGTTATGACACCACCATACAGTGTCCTCTACAACGTTATGACACCACCATCCAGTGTCCTCTACCACGTTATGACACCACCTTTCAGAGTCTTCACCGACGGTCTGACACGACCATACAGTGTCCCCTATTTTTTTTTTATGTATTTTCTTTTTTATTTTTATGTATTTTCTTGTTTTGTTCCTCTCTTCAAACTCAAGTTGGTTAGTTTCTATCCTCCTTGAGTTTGCGGGGGGCTGTTAGAATTTACCATTCACACTCACCTACTACACTCCACCTACCACCAATTTACCCTCACCTGATTTTCTCTTACCACTTGTTCGACGATGCTCACTAGAGTATCTCCCGTGGTGGTGTAATCTTGTCATCTGGTGCAAGTTTTGTCTCCCTTCGTGGTAGGGGTTGGGTGGAGTGCATCCTTAGGTACCATGGATGACAAAAACTATTGATGAGTTGACAAACCATCTTTCACTTACGGAAGAGGAGCAGGACATTGTCGTGGTAGAGGAGTTCCTCATGAAACCGGTTGAAGAAAAACCACCATTTGTAATTTGTAATATACACAATAATCTTGTACATTAATCAATAATATATCAATTTCAACATTGGTTATGCTTAATTAGGAAGCTGCTTACTCCTAGACCGTTGAGTGCAGAGGCAATGAAGTCCACTCTAATAGCCATTTGGAAACCAATTAAAGGTATGGAGTTTACCCCAATTGGGGATAATCTTTTCTTGTTCCATTTTAATCACATCGCCGATAAGCAACGGGTGTCGTTGAACAGCCCTTGGAGTTTTGATAAACACCTTGTTCTCTTAAGTGAGACGGATGCACATCTACTGCCCTCAAAAGTCGTGTTATCGATGGCCAGCTTTTGGGTTCAGACCCATAACCTTCCATTGATTAGTATGACAAGAGAAGTTGGTCAACTAATAGGAAACAAGATTGGCTTGCTCGTGGATGTTGAATATGGATATGATGGAGCAGCAGTGTGACCTCTTCGGATATGGGTCCAAATTGATGTTTCGAAGCCTCTGCGAAGAGGCATGAAACTATCAGTGCATACCCGTTACTCGATATAGGTGGGTTTCAAATATGAGAGGTTGCCAAATTTTTGCTATTTTTGTGGTGTTCTAGGGCATAGTGAGAAAGAATGTGAAACTCTTCTCTCTCAGAAGAAGGCAACATCGGATTTGACAATGCCTTATGGCCCATGGCTGCGTGTGGAACCATCAAAATAAAAAGGTCATACGATGTCGCCAAAGGAGTCGCATGGGTCTCGACGTGACGCTTGAGGGAAGGGCAAGATCCATGTTACTAGGAATCACGAAGGTGGGATATTAGCTCCGGAGTTGACGCCGGATGAAAGTGTTCGATTAGGGGAGTCACAGCCAAGAATGGCAAGATTTTCTAATGGAAGAAAGGGTGATTCTTTACCGTTTTCTAAGGCTAAGATCTTAGAGGATGATATAGTTTTTATCGCCATCAAATGGGCGGAATCGCTCTAAGTCTCGAAAGAGTTCGGATCCACAAACTTAGAAACTTACTTGGGCTCGGACTCGAAAGGGTTCGGATCCACGAACTTAGAGATCCGAAGCACTTGGCTTCGAACGGATTCAGACGCAATCTAGAAGTTGCTCCATTGGTAAGTCCTAGAACACGTGCGGGCTCGGAGCTTTCTGGGATCTACGTACTAGAATCATAGACGTAATGGAGTTCGAACAAAGGACCCGATCCCGAGGACGATGAGTGGAAATAAATTCACTCTTCAGTCAAATTAGCCTATACCCGGGTCGAGGTGGCACGACCCTGGGGGGTCCATAAGACTCGACAATATTTAGTGGCGGGGGGTCCTCTAGGACTACCTTGGCCCATTGGGATGATTGGGGATCATTGGTTATGTGTGGCTAAGAAGAAGGGTTCGCCAAGAGGTTGATCTCCTTTTTGGGGTTTTCCTTATTCTCGGAGATGTCACCTCCTCGGACAAGGTGGTTAGAGAGAATATTTCTCATGTGCCTTGCACATGGACTCCATCTTACATCATGAGGTGTCTATAAATAACACCCACCCATAGGTTTACAAGGGATGGATTTTGGAGAGTTAACTCTTGGAAAAGAACTAATTTCCCTTCTCCATTATCAACCTTGAGAGTGAAAGTAGGAGATCTATAGGAGAGCCTTGCCATTATTCTCTCTCTAGCTACTTTGCCTTCTTCTTTACCCAATCTCTTCTCTCCATCATCTCCTTTCTTTTGTGTTCTTAGTTGAGACTATTGAAGAATCTAAGTCTCTCATAATTTTCTAGAGAATTCGAAGTTTTTCTTCAAGGGTCTTCAAAAATCTTCGAATTTTCCAACGATGTTCTTGAACCCTCTCATACAAGGGAAACAAGAGTTTGTGAAATATACTATAGAACGTATTTCCAGAAATTGTTCATTTCAACAAGAGTTTTTAATTTTTTTTTCTTGAATCTGCACTACTAAAAAAAACACTTTTTGCGACCGCCACATGCCGTCGCAAATAATAAAAATACAGTCGCAAAAGACTTTTTGCGACGGCCTATGCGACCGCACATGGGGGACGCAAATGTGGGGGTGGCAAATAAGAGGTCATCCGACCATCCCTCTGTTGGCAATACCAATTTGTTGAGGGGTCCGCACATAAGAGGTCATAGAGGCAAGATCCCGACCCTATAAGTACACCATCATTAATCAAATATTGACACAACAACAATAAATATAGAGTTTTTTCATGACTGAGTACAATAATTTTCTTAATTTGTAATCCTCGGAGCATTATCTCTTGCTTTTTAAGATGAATGGACATATAGAACTGTAATAATCATCCAGCTTTGACAAGCAACGAACAGTAGTAAGTAATCAAGTTCGTCCAGATGAGAAAGAAAAAGCTAACAGAGCATGAAAAAGCTAATAGAGCATAATAGAACCAATTTAATCACGAGAAAAGGAATACATACTCACATCATCAAAATTCGAAAACGAGTTAAAAAAATATCAATGATATTTATAAATAAATAAATAAATAGAGATTCTCAGCTAGCAAACAACCAAATATGTCATGCATATGAAATCATACATACTGATACTACTGCAACCAAGTAAACCAAAAGATTCATGAACTTAAATTGGAGTAAAAAGAACTATGAAGAAGTGCTATTTTCCTTTAAAAAAAAAGGCGTGATACGAAATCAGCAAGGTGAAGACATGTATCAGAAGGTAGAGAGTTAATTCAACACAAATGAACTAACAAAGAAGAATACTCTACATTAGAAATACCTAAAGGTACCAATCCTGGGTGGAATTTATTAATAGAGTAAACATGAGTGGAAAGAGTTACCACTGTCTACATTGATATACTTCAAATAATCAGCTAGAATTCAGTAAACAAATCCCTTGGCAGATCAGATTGATCAACAAAATTGTAGCGAAATAGGTTAAGAGAAATGATAAAATTCAGCCTTCTAAATGGGGGAAAAGATGCTAATGAATCTTGGGGTAATGTTTTAGGAGTCCAAAAGAATTTTCCTTGTATATATTGGAATAAAATGTTGGGGTAATGTTTCATGATATGATTTTTTTATTTTATTTTTTTATCTTTAAGTTCCCAATAAAAATGAGAGCATATTAGTAATCTTCCAGTACAAAGTTTACTTTATAAAAAAAATGGAAACAGTATCATTATATTATATGTTAGTGCGGAGGATTTTATTTGAGAAGCAATAGGGTTGCCTTCATAAGAAATCCAGCACCAAATGCTTTACGCTCATCATATTCAAAAGAGGTGTTTTGTGGTGCACATAGTGATTGGCCATAGACATTTTAATATTCCTTAAGAAAACAACAATCTAACTATAATAGACATTTGAGGGACTGAATTATATAAAAAAGTAATTTTATTTCACAATGATGGCACTTCAAAAACTCACATGATTTTGTAGACAAAAAAGATGTGAATCCCCTGAACTTGCATCAAAGGAAATTACCAAGATTCCTTATCATTACCTGCAAAACCATGTTGGAGAAGAAAAAAAATCATTTAATTATTCTATTATTTTAATCAAGCAACTAAACTCATTTAGCATAACCTATGACTATAAGATAGGTGAAAGGCACCAAATGACCCATTACCGCCGTGGACCCAACTCAACATTAAAGGCATTGCAAGGTCGATAAAAAAGCTCCCTCCAACTCTTCCTGGATGTGGTATCCTAAACTTTGTCAAAAACTATAAAACATAATATAAGCTGTAATGAAATGCATGCAGAACTCCACGGAAAGCTCAAGGTTATTTTAATTAGACAACAGCATGTGCTTATCACACTCCTACCGATAATGGGCCAAGGCTTACACCCAAATATGTATTGTAAGTTGAGGCCATGATCTCAGCCATTCATGCCAGTCCATGGATAACAGCAATCCGTAGTCTTCTTGAATCCTCATAGCTGGGGAAATTTAAAAATTAAATAAATAAATAAAGAAGGAGAAGATAGTCACTAAGATAGTGTTTTGGCATTTTAAGAGTTGTATACTTTTTAAAATTTGATTTCATTTGTAAGGTTATTATATTCTGGGGTGAATGCTCATATGAATCAAATTTTACTTGGATTTTTTGACAAGGAAAAATTGCATTTACCTTCTTAGAGAAGAGACAACATCTATAGGACTTCCTGACTCAATGAGTCACTGCCAAGCCTTATCAAGCTCCATTGCCAAAAATCATCTCCAAAAAATTGTTAACATACATCACCGCCCCAATATCAGCATAATGTGTAATTTTATATTTGCAAACTGTTGGAAATGGTTATAAAATTCTGGATAAAACCAGAATTTTTTCCTAAGTTCGGTCTATTTTTTAGGTGGGCCCCGAGTGTCAATTTATTCGGGTCAAAGTGGTAACGCGTTCTATGCCGCATTGTGATTCACGTGGTATATTTGGTTGCTCAAAACCATTACCGAGTGAATGGGAAATTGAAGCCAAAGTGTGCTCCATGGAAATGGAGTTTTGGTGGAAATTCCTTAAGGTTGTAAATTGGCTTGTCCCACATTGATTTGGTGGGGAGTTTTGAAAGGGTTTATAAGGCTTAGGGTGAGATACTTGGGGTGTGCCCCAAGGGGTACCCAAGTGTTTTAGAGGGAGAGGTTATGGGCAAAATAGGCTAGACCCATTGGACCCAAAAATCACCACACGCGCGCGGCCGTCCGTCCGGTCGCACGGGTGCGTGGTGTGTGGCTGGGCTTCTAATCTTTTTGGGCAAAAAACATTTGAATTTAATTTTATTTTTTATTAAAATAAAATCCAGAATTCAAATTAAATTGGTTTGGATTATTTGTTCATCCAAACAGGGCCCTTCCCGTTTTCAAACAGAAATAAACTGTTTTGGAATTAGTGCACACCCAAACAGGGCCCTTCCCGTAATTGCTATCTGTTTGAATTGTTGAATCTGTTTGAATTCAAAACCCAACAGGTATCATACCTGTTCAATTCAAAACCAAGAGCCACCTTCACATCTATAAATAAGACCACCCTCATTTGATGTTTTCCATTCAGAAATTTCGTATTTCACTTCTGCATAGGAAGAATATAAAATAAATTCGAAAACTTAGGAAGACAAGAATAATAGCAATTTCTGGTGTAGAAAGCTGAAGGAGAAGACCTTGTTTTATACGCATGGAGGGAGAGAGGAAAAAGCTCCCCTACAACAAATGCAGGAATTAATTCTGCAAAACTAATGGGTTTAATTCCATCATCAATTGAAGAGAAACTAGGTTTTCCTGCAGCCTACACTTCTGACTTGGCCCAAAAAAATTAAGATGGTTGGGTAGGTCGGCCAAGCCCAAGCCCAAGATCCACGAACCTCGAACCTAGCCCAGTTCGAGCGACGTGCGTGGCAATTTTTGTATAATCAACTTGGACCATAGTCTTACCTCAAGTCCATCCTTGAAACATCCATAATTCCTTTCCTTCGAAAAATTTGGATACTCCAAAAGGCTTACACCCTTATCAAAATCTTAAGGTTCAAATACCCATCAAACATTTCCTCTACAATCAATGTGCGATTAGTAGTTATACATAATTCTCAATGCCTCATTCATGAGGCTATTTTTATGAGACAATTTTCATTCAATTCTTAATGGTTTTTGGTCATTCGTTTTGTGGTGTAAAGACCTTATTACAAATAATCTAAACCTATTTAATCCCACATCAGCCAATAGTTGAGACCTATTTTAATTTCACATTAAAGTTACCAAAAAATTATTTTTTAAAGAAAAAAAAAAAAAGAAGTTAAACATGGAAAGTGGGAAACAAAGAGAGTGAAATGGAAAGAAACACTAACGTCATGTTTTTTTGCCTCTTTAAGGGAGGATTAGACTAATAGTATGTAAGACTCATCTAACGAGTGTTTTGTTTGGAAAATGAGTGAGGGAATTAAATATTTCCTTAGATGAGTAATCTTCTCACGTGGTAGGACTAACAAAGTCATGGGAGGGCTAGGATTAGAAATTGAATGAGGGGATCAGTAAATTTTTAAATAATTTTTAAGCAAAAATTATATTTTTTATAATAAAAAATAATTATAATATTAAAAAAATACTAAAAATTTTAAAAAATAATTTTATATAATAACACTATCTATAGTATTATTAATCCGATGGTGTACCAATAAACACTCTTTATTCAATATTTTCAACCTAATACCATCATACTAATAATTTTCTCACTTAATTTTACGATACTTTTAATCCTCTCAATCCTATAAGCGAAAGAAACAAACGTGGCCTAAACTCTGTTAAAATGCAATGTTTTGAGTGTGGTATACCTCTGCTACATGGCTGGTCTTTATTAGGACAACCCATCAACAGCACCAGCACCACTACTCTTGACCGCAGCAAAAATGAACTCACCTAGTTATATTTCATTATTAAAGAGCATTATTGGAATTTACCTTTTAGCTATGAATTATTCTAATTGACTGCAAATTGTGTCTGTGTGAGGAAATTAGCTAAGAATATGAAGTTATAGTTTGCAGAGAGCTCAGGTTATATAGGTATATTTCATTATCAAGGAATATTATTTGAATTCACTATTTAGTTATAAATTATACTATAGACTTGATGTGAGCGTGGTAAATTTGGCTATGTATTAGGAGTACTTGCGGTCCAGTTGTGGCTGGAGAAAAATGATATTATATAATATATATGCTCTATTTGATGGTACTTATAAGTTAATATTTTAGTTTATTGGTTTTAGAAAAAAAAAAAAAAAAATTAATGGTTTTTGGTTGAAATTTTATTTGAATTTAACCGTCTAAAAATAAAATTTAAAAAAAGAGATAATTTTTTTAGTCAATATATCAACTTTCCCAACACCTAATTAAATTACATTTTTTTCCTATAATTTTATCATTTTATCATTAATTCAAACTGTTCTTGGCCTTTCCTATAAAGGCAACATATCACAAGCAGAGTGGGTGAACCACAATTAATGAATAAGTGTTGGGAAAAACATTTCCTACACCAACCTCACCTGCGAGATGCCCAATTCAAGAAAGCCTCCTACCGACTAATAAATCTGTACATTAGTTTAAAAAAAATTATTTTGTTGAAAAAAAATTTATAGTCATTAGTTATATACATTTCTTGTAGAAAGAAATAATCATTTTAAAAATCAATATAAAACTAATATTAAATACCAGAAAATTTTATTGGTTTGAAAAGTTATTTAATGGTGTTTGGTTGAACTTTTATTTGAATTTAACCATCTAAAGATAAAATTTAAAAAAAGTGATGATATTTTTAGTCAGTAAATCAACTTTCCCAACACCTACTTAAATTACATTTTTTTTCATATCATTTTATCATTCATTCAAACCGTTTATGACGTTTCCTACAGGGGCAACATGTAACGCCCCCGAAATACAAGTATAAACACATCCACATACATACATTAAATGATGGTATAAATCAGAGTGAATAGTCCTTTCATTTTCTGAAGTTAAAGGTACAAAAGAGTTTGACAAATATAAATGCCCTATTGGCTTACACCTTTCTAAGCCTTGGCTTGATTACAACAAAATGAGCTTCGCTTAGTACAGATTTAGCCCTAGGCTATGCAAAATAAACAAAACATGAAGCTCTTGCTTCTCAAGGGTCCATCCAATGCTATTGTCTTAGAGGAGACATGCCTTCATTACCTGAAAATGTTATTCCCAAATAGGGTGAGCCACAGCCCAGTAGAAATCATCTAACACGGTATATGAAATTTAGCAAAGGTATAAGTACAAATGCATAGACAATGCTTGTGATAAAACTTTTCACACCTTTATATATATATTCATAAGATATCAATTTCAAGTCTTAATCCACTTACTTTCAATTCACATTTCGATTACTTATCTTTCTCAATTCATGAGTTAATTTCATTGTGTCACAACAACCGAACTGAGACTACAACTCAATTATTTTCAATTCACACAACACATATGCATAAACATTTCAAACTTCCATATCACGGATATTTTATCCGCAGGCAGCCATCAAAGGGGACTCACATAAATGTAGGCTATTCAAGCACTATAATTGCCATTTTACGGATATTTCGTCCGTGGGCTAGGCACCCATGTATAATTTCGGGACTTTCACTCAGGACACTCTGGCCAACTAAATTATAATGGAGTCTATCCCTTTTCTCCTCCCAAACAAATCATCCATACATGGTGCACATCCCCTTTCTCCTCCCAAACAAATCATCATATGCAATGTATTGAAACGTATAATCAAACATGGAGCACATCCCCTTTCCACTCCCAAACAGGCATACATATACAATGTATATAAACACGGTCATATTCAATGATAACCAACAAAGATTAGTTTCAATTCACCTAATCCACATGCAATTTCTACAACAGTCAAAGCTATCCTCCACCGATAACCCAATACAGTTATCTCTAGACAGGTACTCAATCTCAAACATATAGTTTATTCAAAACTTCAAAAAAATGAGTTAATACATAACCAATCCCACCATTCATATCAACACCCTCTCAATTTCACATTTGTAATGCAAATTCCAATTATTTGTACACAATAATAATTTCATCCAATTATATTTCCCCATTTTCCCAAATATTAACCAAGTGCCAAAATCATTAAATTAGACATAACACAACATCATTTTCAAACCCCACAAGCATTTATTTCACCTTCACCCAAAACCCCTCTTTCCATATT